TCCGGAGGGACCAGTCGCCTTGGATAGGTAAGTAAGCTTCATCCAAATTCCTTCCGGTCGACTGGCCGTAGTATAACGCTCCCCCATATATTTTAATGTAATTAGGAATTTCCACGTGGCCACATTGAGGCCCGACCTACGTCTGCTCGGGAAGTCTTCTGCTCATGGGCCCCAGAGGATTGGATCCTTTAAGGGAGCAGCCGTAGGCCGTAACACCACTATTTTTTATTTTTAAAGGGGTGAAGTCTGATTGGCTATATCAAGCTCCTGAGAGTTCCAGAATGGCAATCTCAAAATCAGGATGGATGGAGACAACAATTTTTGAAGATTGGTTAGAAAACCAATTCATTCCATTCATGAAAAAAGATGAGGGTAAAAAAATATTAATGTGTGATAATTTAAGTGCGCACATATCTCCTAAAGCACTGCGCTTATGTGCTGAAAACAATATTGCATTCATTTGTTTGATCCCTAACTCGACACATCTTCTTCAACCCCTTGATATAGGCTATTTTTCGGCAGTCAAGTCAGCTTGGCGAAAAGTTCTTAATGATTATCGTTAAACCTGCATAGGCAAGAAAGTCTTGGCTCTTCCGAAGTCATTATTCGCCCAGTTAATTAAAAGAACTTTGCAAAATGGAAATTCCAATTCATCTGAAAATCTACGAGCAGGATTTAAAAGTTGTGGTTTGTATCCGTTGTCCCCAGCGACTGTGTTAAACAAACTTCCAGCATATACCTCTACTGTGGACATAAGCGAAACTATCAGTTAAAGTTTTGTTAATTATATAGAAAATGTGAGACAATCGAATCTGAATATAGTGACGAAAGGAAAGAAATTTCAATTACCTGTAGTAGCAGGGAAGAGTGTTTCGGCCGAAGAAGTAGAAAATTATTATAAAGAAAGGGAAAAAACAAGAGAGGAAATGAAGTGGAAACCAGGCAGTCTAAAAAACGTGGCAGGCCCATGGGGTCGAAAAACAAGAACAAGAAAAAACCAAGGGATCCTACTCCTTCTGGAGAAGTATGGTCAACAGAAAATGAGAGTGAAAACAACGAGGTTGTTGATGCTGTTAAACATGGTGAAGAATGTGATGAAAATGAACTCATGTCACAAAATGTTGGAGGATACGCCGAGTTCCTCGTCGAGGCTATGATACACAAACCACCTTCTCCAGAAGTAGCTAAACGTTTATATAAAATACTCGACATGGGTGTTAATTTATCTACGCCACAAGAACAGGAGTTTGAGCCACCGGTAATAACAATACCAGGAGATAATATAATTGGAGAGTCGGAAGAACAAATACAGTGGGAAGATAAGAATTTGCCTATTGTAGAAGAATATGTTGTGGAACCCATCAGTGATTTAACACCCTCTGACCAAAATAATTCTGGTAGGGGCTTGGTGAAAGATGCGTATTGTATTTTTAATAATAAGGGGAGCATGTTCCTAGGACAAATACGAAAACTAAACTTGTCGACCGCGACTGTCATGGTTTCAGATTTCCAAAAATCCTTTTTAGGAGGTTGGAAGTGGCCTTCAAAAACCGAGATATTAAAAGTAAAAATATCGGATATCGTCAGCATAGTAAAAGGCCATCAAATTACTAAGAAAAATGGTATAACATATGTAGAAGATGATATTTTATTAATGGAGTGGGGGGAGTAAGATTTTTGTGAGGAAAATATTTATATAAATTTCTTCCTAACATACATTTTTTTTATCTCAAATGAAAGCCAAACTATTATAGTATTTTAATAAGAATCTCAATTAATTAATTTAAGTTAATAAATACAGTTATAAATGTACAAAAATTTTGTTTTTGTGTTACTTTTTGGTACATTCAGTTCGTATATGGCGTCCCCAAGTGATAAGAGAGAAAAAAATATTGCAAATGACTGGCCATAGAGCATAATTTTATTTTCTCAGTAAAAACACCATTTAATTTTACCCAAACTCTAAATAAATCCAAAATTATATGTTTTAGTCTTCAGAAATAATAAGAGTTCAAAGTTACCCTAATTTCATGATAACTTTGAATGGTATCTCAATCGTCAATTTTGGGAATATTTATGCGTATTTTAATTAATCTGAGCATTATAATTCGTAAATAATACTAATAGAACACAGTTAACGAAATAAAATCAATCTACTCTCATACAATTTTATTACTCTGTATGTGTGACAATGTATAAAAACTGTTCAAAATTACCCAAGTTGACTGTACTCTTAATCTGGCCCATCTTCAATATATCGTCAAATTCGATAAACTTTCATCTAACGTGTTCCATTCTTACTCTGCCATTCACTTCTGTAACATAGATTTGCTTTGTCACTCTTTCCTCATTTATTATTTTTAAATGACTAAACCACCGAAGCATTCCTTCCTTAATCCTGGTCACAACATCATCTTGCAAATCACACTTTTCCCTTATCACAGAATTTCTCACCCTGTCTGTCATTCAGATACAGCCCTAACATATTCCTTAATGACCGCATTTCTACAGCATTTATTCCACTCTCGTGCTTCTTCTGCCACACCCAACTTTCGCTACCATATATTAATAGGAACTAACACAGCTTTTTGAATAATATAATGCCTTTTTTGACACATTATGACTTCCCATAATAGATCAATTAAAATGCATTAATAAGCATACATTTAAAATACATTCATTTTGAACATTAATTATTGTAGTAAAGTAAAGGCTTAATATTGTCATTAAACGATATTGTAAAATATTTTAAAACTATTGATGTTAAGAAAACTGCGGATCTATGGGGGATTTCCGTTAAAGTTATTGTGTCTATAATAGATACAATCGCGCCTCATTTAGCTATTATTTTTAATACTAGTATCGAATCTGGTAGTACATTAGACCCCGCCAATTTTAGACCTATTTCTGTACTACCAACACTTAGTAAGATTTTTGAAAAAATTATTCTTGATCAAATGTTCAATTTCTTTAATATAAATAATTTACTTTATAAAAATCAATTTGGTTTCACAAGGGGTCACTCGACAACTGATGCCGGTGTTGAGCTGATTAAATATATATTTAATGCATGGGAGAATTCACAGGATGCTTTGGGTATATTTTGTGACCTATTCAAAGCCTTCGATTGTGTTCACCATGAAACATTAATCAGGAAACTTCAACACTACGGTGTAAGAAGTGATGCTCTTAAATTAATTATTTCATATTTAAGTAAGAGAATGCAAAAAGTTGTCATTAACAGTATGAGTTCTTCCGGGTCGATGGTACAAATGGGCGTGCCTCAAGGCTCAATTCTCGGCCCCTTTCTGTTTTTTGTATACATTAAAGACTTACCTTACATAGTAGGAGATAACCATGATATAGTATTACTTGCAGATGACACTCCTTTAATTTTCAAATTAAGTCGACAATTGCTAAAATATGACGAAGTTAATAATGCTATATCTAAATTAGTAAATTGGTTAAATGTTAATAATTTGCATTTAAATGGCACTAAAACGAAATGTATGAAATTTATGACTCCAAATGTCAAACAATTAAATACTAATGTAATTTTAAATGGGGAGAAACTGAGTCTTGTAGATACCACCATTTTTCTTGGAATCACCTAGACGCGAAGCTTCAATGGAGCCCCCATATATCAAAACTAGCAAGCAGACTTAGTTCTGCAGCATATGCCGTAAAAAAGATTAGAAGTCTAACTAGTGTTGAAACAGCTAGACTAGTTTACTTTAGCTATTTCCATAGCATAATGTCGTATGGTATTTTGCTATGGGGACACGCAGCTGACACTGAAATTATATTTGTTTTACAGAAGAGGGCCATAAGAGCAATTTATGATTTAAAGCCTAAAGGGTCGCTGCGACAAAAATTTAAGGAAATTAATATATTAACTTTGGCCTCTCAATACATTTAAGAAAATGTAATGTACGTACACAAAAATAAAAGTAGTTTTAAAAAAATAAGTGATATTCATTCTGTAAATACTAGGAACAGACACAAGCTAGTAGTACCAGTTACTCGACTCCATCGAGTCAGTAATTCATTCTTGGGGCGATGTATACGCTTTTACAACAAAATTCCAGAAAATATACAAAATTTGACCTGCACAAAGTTCAAAAACTTTATTAAACTAAGTTTGTATAAAAAGGGTTATTATAATATTAAGGAATTTATGAATGATAATAACCCCTGGAAATGAGGTGATCGCTACCCAGCTATTTCTAATTTATTGTGTTGTTAATTTGTGTAACATACATGATTGTAAGCTGTTATTTAAAAAAAAAAGTCACGCTGGGTTTCTTGCTGGTTCTTCCCAGGACAGAGGTTTTTTTTCGAACCAGTGGTAATCATACAAAAGAGTGACTTTCAATAAGTATTTTTTATAATCTATATTGAATAAAAAAGTTTCTGTTTCAAAAATTCAATAAATTTTTTAAAACGCTGCTTAAAATATTCCAAATATATAAAATAATAAAAATATAAGTTGATTATATTACATTAAGAAAATAAGCTCCGCCTGAGGAGATAGCCAGACTCTATGAGACATACCGCGCGGATACAAAGGCGTTGCAATTCGCCATTCCCAAAGCCAGCTCTCGGTCCTGGAATGAGCTCCAAGAGGGACTCAACGAAGATTGTGTGGGGCGCCCATACAGAATGGTGCTGGGTAAACTCTGACCCTGGTCGCCTTCCTAAACGGAGACTCTCGATCCAGACCTGCTGGGAAGCGTGATCAGCGTGCTTTTCCCAGGGGACCGGCCAAGTCCCTCAAGCCACCCGCCATCATCATGAAAGTGGCAAGATGAGATGGCGGTGACCGTGGTGAGCTCACCGGTACAGCTGTACCAAGCCATTAGCCATTTAAAAGCCTGGCACACTGCATAGGAACCCAACGGTTTCCCGGGTCAACCTCTAGTGCTGAACCTAGCTGCCCTGGGGGACAGGCTTAGGCAGCTCTTTACCGACTGTCTGCGGAGTACCAAGTTACCCACCGCATGGAAAGAGGCAAGGTCCTCTTGAAGAAGGAAGACAGAGCCACCGATTCCCCCTCTGCGTACCGTCCCATATGCCTCTTGGACGAGATTGGTAAATTGTTCGAAAGAATAGTTGCCATTCGGCTCAACGAGCATCTGTCGTGCGATGGTCCCGATCTGGCTGATAGCCAGTATAGATTCCGACGAGAGCGTTCTACAGTAGATGCCATTACGCGCGTCCGCTCCCTGTTGGAACAAGCAATATCCCAGGGTGGTATAGCGTTGGCGATATAATATACGATAAGTCTCGATATCGTCAACGCCTTTAATTCTCTACCCTGGGGCGCAATCAGGAGCGCACTGGCACATCATCATGTACCCTCCTACCTGCAAGGTGTTGTCGGGGACTACTTGCGTGACAGGTACATCCTTTACATGGGGCAAAATGGTAGAAAGATCCGGAGGGAGATCAGACGTGGTGTTCCACAAGGCACGGTGCTGGGGTCGCTATTTTGGAACCTTGACTATGATGCGGTTCTGCGAGTTGAACTTCCCGCATGCGTGGATATCATTTGCTGTGCTGACGACACGTTGGTGGTTGCCAGCGGGGTCACCTTCAAGAGGGCCAAGGAGCTCACCGAGCTTGGGGTGGAAGTCGTTATCACCAAAATCCACAAGTTGGGATTAGAAATAGCGCCTCACAAGAACGTGGCCCTATGGTTCTATAAATTACGACGCGGCAGGGAACCACCCGACACGTGCGTCCACGTAGGTGGGTCTGAAGCCCGAGTGATAGGTGCTGGGGGCGGTAAGGACTGCCCTCGGGACGTGCTTTGAAAGAGCAAAGCGAGAGAAGGGCTCCGGTTGCGCTCCGAACGAAGATACCGGGACTCCTCATATACACCGGTTAATTTGGCCGGTAGGAATCCGGCATAACATTTCTGTTGCCCCCGCAGCAGAAGGTATCCATGAGGATTTTCCTACGATGAAAAAAGACTCAGGACACGCTCTGCGGCTAGAAGCCGTGCTGATCATGCAATCAGTGATAATGCCTTACACCACGTATACAGGGACGGTGGTCTGATAGGTGTTGGCGCTCACGGAGGGCTTGTTATAACCGGTGTGCCTATTATTCGACGTGTTGCTTAAACCGTGTGACGTATATTCACTGTGGCTGGAATTGATCGTATGCTGTATGGCGTTTACATGTATTGACATGCGCGACTTCGATCTATATTGGTTCTGGTTCGCCAGTTATTTTGCTGTGGGCTACGGTCCAGTTTCCAACTTCATCGTCTCCCACACATTTTTTTAAAATGAGGAAGAGCGATGTATTGGGTATTTTTATATAAATATTGTGAGCCTTTTCCAAGCGGGAAGGGATAATTATAAGGAATTGATTAATGTTAACCTGATACAAGTGGAATAGGAACTATTCTACGCTCTTAACCTTTTAGAGGCCTTTCATCGTGACCCGGGATCTTAGTTTACAATAGTTATAAGGGACTACTAACGGCTTTCGATTACTCTTGTAAATATTCGTTCTTCCAAGAGACACCTAAAAGGACTGGGTTTAAATAAAACTAGTTTTACGGATTTTATCGCGTATATTAACTTATTTTATAGTCCTGAAGTTTCGAGTACTACAGCACCCATGGTCACGGGGATGGGGGGACTGAGGTGTTTGTTATAGTTAACCACGGCTACCTCCAGATTAAAAATTATTATTTTTTGTTCCGCATCTAATGTAGTAACGGGGGCGATTCTGTACGTGTTCACAGACAGCATACTTCCCGGAGTGTCGATTCTTCACATCAGTCATGTGTTTTTAATACGGGTTTTAACTGAGAAGAGTTAGAACTAAGTTACTAAATAAATAAAACGTAAATAAGGGTCCTAACTGAGACGATCACGCCATAAACTTATTAAACGCCCTCTGTAACTAAACCTTTAGAAAGATCCTTGAGAAAGATCTATATAATATGTAAATTATCTTAGTTACGTCATTTTTTATATTTTTAACAGACTGAAATTTATATGTTTAACATAATAGAGGAGGGGGGGGGGACGTTACAATATAATAACCAATTCACAGAATAGAATAGAATAGAATAATTTTTATTCAATATACATTACATGTGTAATTCTTATTGAAAGTCAATTTTTACTTTACCACTGGTTCGAAAAAACCCTCTGTCCTGGGAAGAACCAGCAAGAAACCCAGCGGGACTTTTTTTTAAAATAAATTTTACAATTTTTAATTATAAATGATTACGAACTATTTATAAAATTTATTTTAGAAACCGCTTGGAAGCGACCACATCATTCCCAGGGGTTTATAATCAACCATGTATTCATTTATACTATAATAACCCTTTTGATACAGTTTCAGCTTAATAAAACATTTGAACTTGGGAATAGAAAGAATCTGCACACTTTCCGGGACCTTGTTGTAATAGCGTATACATTGCCCCAAGAATGAATTACTGACGCTGTGGAGTCGAGATACTGGCCTCACTAGCTTGTGTTTGTTCCTAGTGTTTACAGAATGTATATCACTTTTTTTACTAAAACTATCTTTTATTTTTGTGAACATACATAAATTTTCGTAAATATACTGAGAGGTCAAAGTTAATATATTAATTTCTTTAAACTTATCTCTAAGAGACTCTCTCGGTTTTAGATTGTAAATAGCTCTAAAGGCCCTCTTCTGTAAACCAAAAATAGTTTCTGAATCAGCAGCATTTTCCCATAGCAAAATTCCATAAGACATTATGCTATGGAAATAACTGAAATAAACTAATCTAGCTGTCTCGACACTAGTGAGACCTCTAATCTTTTTTACAGAATAGGTTGCAGAACTTAGTCTGCTTGCTAATTTGGATATATTAGGGCCCCACGGAAGCTTCGCGTCGAGAGTGATGGCAAGAAAAACAGTGGATACAACAGGGCTCAATTCCTCCCCATTTAAAAACACATTGGTATTCAGATTTTTAACATTCGTTGTTGTAAATTTAACACAATTAGTTTTATTTCCGTTCAAATGCAGATTATTAACGTTAAACCAATGCACTAATTTTGATATAGCGTTATTCACTTCGTCACATTTAAATGATTGACGTTTAAGTTTAAAAATCAAAGAAGTATCATCAACCAATAATACTATATCATGACTATCCCCTACAAGGTGAGGTAAGTCATTAATATACACCAGAAACAGGAATGGGCCGAGAATCGAGCCCTGAGAGACACCCATTAGTACAGGTACAATAAATAATAATTAAATTCATTATAAAGACATTTAAAAATGTCTGAGAAATTATATTTCAAACAATTAAAATACAAATAATAAGCATAACGTTCAAATATATTCATTTGGAATATTGAATATTATAGTATTAGTAAACGCAGAAATTGTCTCTAAAAATCTCTAAATTTATTAAAATTCTGCTTAATATATTCAAAATGTATTAAATCATATAAATACCAGTCGATTATATTGCAATAATAAAGATAAATAACATTTGTAATATAATAGAAAAAATGGATCAAAATTTTCTAAGTTGATGAACGTGTTCTTGTTATGTTCCTTTATATGGGGGCGTTGCCGGAGACGCATACCCAAGGTTGTACATATATATGGGGTGGTCGGCTGATCGACTGCTAGTACTAAGGTTTCACAATGACTAGTTCTATATTAGGGACTTATCATAGTTAGGTCTAACGAACCAAAGCTTTAATATAGAAGGTCTCTATGTTGCATAAGCATTATGATAGCAGAGTTATGACTTGAAGTCCTATATGAATAAGACATACAATAGTATGGTCTATGAAATAAGGCAAATATGTGGAAGGGCTCAACTATGTAAAAGCATTAAATTGAAAGAAATGGGACTTGAAAAGGATTATTATAGTGGCGTGTAGGTTGCTTCGCAGCCTCCGAGACCGAGGTAAACTTGGACTCGCTAACCGATGTGTCCTAGACATATAATCTTAGTGTCGGTGGTAAGCGGGTTTGTTGTGGCAAGTCGTGTTGCTTGCCCGTGGACATCGCACACCCCTACCGTTTCTGGGCGGTGTCTTAGCGCATAGCGTTATGATACGTCGGCTATCTTTCGGATTAGGGTGAGTGTGTTTGGTAGTACTTTTAAGTGCAGCAAGCATACTCAACTCCATGTCTTAGTGCAATAGCGCTATGATACGTGGAGTTTTGGCTGATGACGTCTTAGTACCGTGCTACTATGATACGTTGGTGGTTAATCGATGTGTCCTAGACATATCATCTTAGTGTCGGTGGTAAGCGGGTTTGTTGTAGCAATACGGCTTGCCCGTGGACATCGCACACCCCTACTGTTTGTGGGCGGCGTCCTAGCGCATAGCGTTATGATACGTCGGCTATCTTTCGGATTGGGGTGAGTGTGTTTGGTAGTACTTTTAAGTGCAGCAAGCATACTCAACTCCATGTCTTAGTGCAATAGCGCTATGATACGTGGAGTTTTGGCTACTGACGTCTTAGTGGAGAGTTACTGTGACACGTTAGTGGTATTTTGCGGGTGGTGCTGTCTGCTGGGACTGTATGGGGGACCTTGGGATGGTGCAAGCCCGACGATAATATATTAATGCTTGTTGCATTCTGTAGCATTGTGTCTCTGCGATGGTTGTTTGGCGGGTCGCTATTCTCAATGGCGCTCTCTGCGTCTTGGTTTGACTCACAACCTAAGTACCTTTGCCCAAGTCAGGTCCCTTCATTGCGGGGCTCTAGTCTGTCTATCTCCATGATGTTTTATATAACAACTTAATAATATATCTCTATAAAGTTCCCACCTTTGAAAGATTGAAGGCAACTTGTTGGTGGGTGAGACAAACATGATCGAAAAATGCATATACTTAACGTCAGTGACACAAACCCTTTCTGATGACGAATTTTTTTTAATGTTTTAAAAAAAATACTAGTAATGCTATTATACATTACTAATACTCCCTTTAACCACTTCTGGTAAGCTTAAAATGCTTGTGTTAGAAGTGGTTCACGAAAGTAGTCGAATAGCGGATTCGAACCCACGACCTTTCGAGTTCGCGGTCCGCGCCCTGCCATTAGGCTACTGACGCTACTAATATCTTATAACTGCCTATTGGCTATATTTGCCATTGTATTGGTTGGTGGAGCATATGTGTCGACCTCATGCGGGTGGTAGCTGGAGGGAGAATCTGCGGAGGCTCTCAAGGCTGCGGCCGAAAGCCGCGCAACGTGGGACCCCATTCCCTTGAGGTGACCGGTAGACTCATGACACGCT